GCAGTGCGTTTTTAAGCGCTGTAGCTATACGAAGAACGGGTTGCTGTGCACCTTCAAGAGTGACTGCTGTGCGTCTTTAAACACTTGTTATAAAAAGAAGGGTTGCTGTGCACCTGTAAAAAGCAATTGCTGTGCTCTTGCAAATAATAATATAATATTTTATTATAAAGCAAAAATACCTATAAAAATGGAAAAACAAATAGCGCTGTCGTTTGATCAGAAACGTATTATTACTCAAGGCGAATGGTTAAATGATATACATATGGAGCATTTTGCACATCTTTTAAGAACTTGTTCAGATTATAGACCTGTGCAAACACAAAAATTGTATTCTCTTGATACAATACAATGTGCATCAGAATATAAAAAACATATACAAATATTATTTAGTTCGTCAGGTCTAAACGCATTAGATGGACATTGGATATGTAGCTATTATGACAAAAAAATTTATTTATTTATGATTCGTTTAATAATAAAAAGTTGCACAGAGATTATGAACAATTTTTAAGACAATTATTTCTAACTTATCCTTTTGAAAAACGACCTATCAAATTTCCAACTGTGCAATGTCAACCGAATAGTAATGATTGCGGTGTTTTCGCTATAGCTTTTGCAATTTCGTTGCTATTCAATATTAAACCAGAAAAAGTTAAGTATGATCATAGCTTAATGCGTTCACATTTGATAAAAATTTTTGAATCTAATGTAATCGAACATTTTCCTCAAGATCCAAAATATGGTGTTCAAAAAGTGCTTTCATTGGCATTAATAAAAGCAAAAGAAGCTGAAACAACTCGTAAGCGTATGATACATCAAAATAAGACAAATGAAAAGAAATTTAATCAATTGGAAGAGTATAATCGTCCTTGTAAATTAAAGAAATTAAATAATGATTTGTTAAAAATGCAAAAAAACAGCAGATTTAGACAAAATTGCAGATGTAACATTAATTAATAATAATCGTATTGATCAAGTTGATAAAAAAGATTATAAAGAGAATGAAGGACGTATACAGATGTACTTAGAAAATGATATGCAAAATGAAAGATATCGAGATCAAATGATTATAAAAACTGAGACAAAAATAGTTTTGTCATCCGAACAAAAAAATATTATTGTTCAAGGTGAATGGCTAACAGATTTGCATATAAAACATTTTCATCATCTTTTAGAAAGGTATTCTAATTATAGACCTGTCGAAACATTGTTATTACAATGTCTTGATGAAATACAACCTATACCTGACAATAATGAACATATACAGATATTATATAGTTCGTCAGGTCCTGGCGCATTAGATGGACATTGGGTATGCAGTTATTATGATGCACAAAACTTATTTATTTATGATTCATTGAATAAAAAAAAGTTGCATAAAAATCATGAACAATTTTTAAGACGATTATTTCCGACTTATTCTTTTGATCAACGGCCTGTCCGATTTCCTACTGTGCAGCAACAACCAAACGGTAATGATTGTGGTGTTTTTCAATAGCTTTTGCAACTTCATTACTATTTAATATCAAGCCTGATACAGTAAAGTATGATCATAGCTTAATGCGTTCACATTTAGTAAAAATTTTGGAATCTAATGTAATAGAGCATTTTCCTCAAGATTTAATATATGGAGTTATTCAAAAAGTATCTCCGTTAGCAATAATAAAACCAAAAAAAGTAGCTCCTTTACGTACAATAGGACAAAATAAAATAGAACAAAAATCAAATACATTAAAGAACAATTTTGTTGATCAAATTAATAACAAGGATAACCAAGAGATAATAAATATAGATGATAATATTACATTGACTAACAATTTTGTTGATAACAAAGAAAGTTGCAAAAAGGAAAATCAAGATATATGTGATTACTTAAAAAATCATGCGCATTACGAACGACATCCATATGAAGAAAATTTAGAATATAATCGTGCTAAAAAGATGCGGAGATATAAGGAAAATTTAGAAGATAATCGTGCTAAAAAGAAGCGCAGATATGAAGAAAATGTAGAAGATAATTGTGCTAAAAAGAAGCGCAGATATAAAGAAAATTTAGATTATAATCGCGCTAAAAAAGCGGCAACAATATGATAAAAATTTTGCAATGCGATGCTCGCAAGAGCGCATACGTTATTCTAAATTGATGCAAAAGGAAGAAAGTAGATAAAAAATATTAGAACGTAAATGGAATTATAACAAACAATATTATAAGAAAAAGAAAGAAGAAAGAGAAAAAAAGAATGAAACATTGAAATATAAACATAACATAAAAAATTGCAATGTTACTAATAATATCACTAAAAAATATAGAAATGTTCGGTGCAAAAATTCTATAAAATTAAAAATGGTTCTTTGATAACATTCATTAAAATATTTCGAAAAAATTAAATATTGAATGTAATATCGAAAAACAATTAGAAGCTGAGAAAATAGTACGTTGGTGTAATAATGTTAGAAATAATTATATTGACGACATGAATAAAATATTATATAGACTTAAAAAGAAAGCAGAAGTATGTTTGACTCTTGTTGCTGAATGTCATACAATTGATGAACAATTGAATGTGTATGCGCGGTTTCCCCCTGTGGAAAATCGGCTGCATTTGAGTTTAAAAATTGCAAAGGCTCAAAGTCTAATAGTAGGTAGCTGAGGAACGAGGAAAATTAAGACTGGGAGAGCGAATAACACTCGCGTGAACATCTGAATAAAATAATAATTCGACTCGATCGGGCTAAGAACAAGGCAAGACTGACTACCGAATTTGGTAGACTACACGCGTGAGCGAGCTGACAACACCAGAAATTCGGCAGCCCGTCTTAATGGGCCATCTACAAGCACTCATGATTGCTCGCATCATCGCATCGCGCAATCAGCCGGCGTGTACCGACAAACATGTTATACTCGCGGCAGCATTCTGCGCGAACATACCGCCCGCCATCGCTCGAAGTAATGAAACTCGAGAGATCAAATCGACAAGGGCAAAAGAATCTCTAATCGATGATCGGAATAACAGAAAGTAGAGCGAACTAAAAAAAAAAACAAACTAGTATACCGTACACAAAATGACGAAATATCAACTCTCGGCACGAAGCACTTGAAAATAAAGAAAAATTATTTAGAAATAACAATGTCCAAATGTGGCGAGCACACTCTTCTTACAATAATAAGTGCGATAGAAACAAATAATTCTATACAATGCAAATTTTCTTACATTAAATTCACAAAAAATTTTAGCAAGAGAAGAGCACAACAAGAGGTAAGTTCAAGAAAATTACAGGTAGAAGGAATTAAGTACCTTCTAGCTTAAGACTAACTCTACAGGAATATGCAATATGATACAAGTTTATGATACGTTTCGTGAGTTACGAATATAGATCACTATTTAGCGAGCTCCGCCCGCTATGAACGTCTCAAATTGAGCGAACTTAACAATTGTTTCCTCGTGCACCGGCAGCAAAATAAGTTTGTTGACAGGTCGCACACTCTCAGAGCCTGTTGTCGAACGTATTGTGGCAACTCTTGTCAAGTCATCCCTTCCAGGATGAATACGTAGAACTCTGGCCAACGGCCATTTCGTTGGAGGAGATAGCTTGTCCTTGAAGAGGACTAGGTCTCCTACCTGGAGTTTTCGATTTGACTTGAGCCATTTTGTGCGTTGTTGTAGTTGAGACAGGTATTCCGAGCGCCATCGCCGCCAGAAGTGGTTTCGCATTAGCTGAAGAGGGTGCCAGCCAAGACATAGTTGCCCAGGTTGATTGACCTCTGTGTAAGGCTCTGGAAAGGCGACGAGAGGCCTCCCGATCAGAAAGTGCCCGGGTGTCAGTGCTGAGACGTCGGTTGCATCAGAGCTGAGTGCGCTGATTGGTCGAGAGTTGAGGCAGGCTTCTATGCTAGCCAGCACCGTCGAAAATTGCTCGTACGTGAGCTTAGAGTCGCCGATGACTCTGTAAAGATGGCGCTTCATAGATTTAACGTTGGACTCCCAAATGCCCCCAAAGTTTGGAGCGCGGGGAGGGATGTAACGCCACTCCACTCCGTCGGAAACTACCGCAGCTGCCATAGCTTGTCCGGTGGCGGATGTCTCAGAAAGGAGCCTGTGCAGCTCGGCTTCGCTGCCCTTGAAGGTCGTGCCGTTGTCGCTGTATAAGACTTGGCAGAGACCGCGCCGAGCGACAAAGCGCCGATAAGCAGCTAGAAAAGCGTCCGTCGTTAGGTCGGAGACCACTTCTAGGTGGACAGCCTTCACGACGAGGCACACGAATATCGCGACGTATCCCTTGGAAGTCTTCATCCCTCGGCCAGGTGAGGCCTTCAGCCAAAAGTAGCCGGCAAAGTCAACTCCAGAGTGCGCAAACGGTACGGCGGGTTTCGTTCGAATGGCTGGCAGCGGCGCCATTTGCTGCTCGAGAGTGATAGCATTGTGACGGGTGCATGTGACACAGCTCCGCACGACGCGTCGGATTGTGGTGTTAGCACGCAGGATCCAAAATTTCTGCAACAAATAACTATGTACTAATCTGTAACCCCCATAAAGAGTGGAAATGTGAGCCTTTCGAATGAGGAGAATAGTGACGTGATGATTCTTAGGGAGGATGATGGGATGCTTCTCGGATTCCGAGAGAAAGGAGTTCTGAAGTCTGCCGCCGACGCGAATCAGGCCTTGAGTGTCGACAAAGGGCAGGAGTTTGCGAAGAGGACTGCTAGATTGAACTTCCCCTTTTAAGGCAAGACGCTGAAACTCTTCCGGAAACGCCTCCATCTACACCAATCTGATAAGCGTCATCGAACCGAAGGATAGTTCCTGTGATGACAAAAACCCCGTGCGTCGATCAGATCTTTCCAGCTTCGAATTCAGCCGCCAGCGATGTACATAGGCAAGAATGGTGCATAACTTGTCGAAAGAAGAGAACTTAGTCAGCCAATCTGAGAATGGAAAATCGAGTTGATTCAGTCAAATATTGACTCGATTGCGTGATTCCAACTCAGTGGCTTCGGGTTTAGAGTTGGAAGGCCATTCGGCTTGTGAAAGAGTCAGCCAGTGAGGACCCTTCCACCAGATTTCCGATCCCTGCAGCTGCCGTGGCAAGCACCCTCTCGTAGCCAGGTCCGCAGGATTGTGACCAGATTTGACGTGGCGCCAAGTAGCGGTTGGTAGAGATGTGGTAATCTCACTGACTCTGGTTGCCACGTAGGTCTTCCACTTAGAAGGATGCGATTGTAGCCATGACAAAACTACCTGAGAGTCGCACCAACAATGAATTTGCGCCGGTGGAACCTCCAGTTGTGGCAGGATGGCGGTGATCAGCCGTGTCAGAAGAGACGCTCCACAAAGTTCGAGCTTGGGAAGGCTAATGACCTTCAAGGGTGCGACCTTGGATTTGGCCACAAGAAATCGAGATGACGATGTTGATGGTACTACGACGTAGATGGTGGCTGCAAAGGCGCGTTCGGACGCATCGCAAAAGCCGTGAAGATGCCACTCCATCGTTCTGCCAGTTCCCAGCCAACGTGGAATCCTTATGGCTTCGAGATCCATGAGTTCTGTCAGGTACGTGATCCAGGATTGTTTAAGTTCGCCTGTAACTTGAGCGTCCCAGTCCGCTCCTTGAAGCCACAGACATTGTAACAGCAGTTTGGCCCGTATGACCACTGGAGAAACCCAGCCCACCGGGTCGAAAAGTGTAGCAACCTGAGAGAGAATCGTGCGTTTCGTCACTGCCGAGGGTGACGATGAAAGCCGCACATCAAAATTGAACACATCCGAGTGGGGTAGCCATTTTAAGCCAAGTGTCGAAACCGTGCCGATCTCACTCAACTTCCTGTGCTGAAGCGGCTCAGCTGCTCCCAGAAGATCGACATGACTGGCAGCCCACTTATCCACAGTCATACCTGCCGAAGATAGGATGCTAATAAGTTCAGTTTTAGCCGCTGCGGTCTCTTCGAGCGTGTCTCCTCCCGCCAAAAAATCATCCACATAGCGATTTTTTTTTAGCAACTTAGACCCAAGTGGAAAGCGATCCGCTTCCTTTTCTGCAAGATCTAGAAGACATGCGTTAGCGTGGAAGGGAGCAGAGGCCGTACCGTAAATCACCGTGAGTAAACTGTATGAAAGCAACGGCGATCCGGGCGAAAACCTCCAGCAGATGCGCTGCCAGTTTAAGTCCTCCGGGTGAACCAGCATTTGTCGAAACATCTTCACCACGTCACAGGTGAACACGTATCGGAAGAAACACCATCTCAGGAGCACGACCAATAGGTCCTCTTGCAGCTTTGGACCAGCATGAAGAAAGGAATTGAGTGAAGCTCCCCTGGCGTCCTTCTGCGAGCCGTTGAAAACGACACGAATCTTGCCGCTGTCCTTCTTGAAGACAGGGTGGTGGGGCAAATAATAGAATTGTCTTGTGTTTGTCTCGTCCTCCGGGACCACTTCCATGTGGCCGAGGTCGATGTACTCGCGCATGAATGCGGAGTACGCAGCTGCGACGTCGGGTTGCTTGACGAACCGACGTTCGAGACGACCCATGCATGCTCGAGCAGTCGAATCAATGCCGGAGAATTGAGGTGTTCCGGAGAAGGGAAGCCGCACGACGTAGCGACCTTCTCGATTGCGAGAGGACGTTTTCCTGAAATGTTCAAGACATTGCTGGTCGCTCGGTGACAGCCGAGGCACCCGCGGGATCTCCTCCGTCTCCCAGAATCTTGTCACGGCTTTCGTGAGCTCGTGGTTAATTGAGATGTGATGCACTGATGCGGCATCCTCAGGGTCGTCATTCGGACCAGAGCTGCCTAAGAGGACCCAGCCAAAGACGGTCTCCTGTGCAACTGGAGCTTCAAGAGGGTTGACAGCCTTCCGAATCCCTGGTAACAATGTGGCGCCAAAAACCGCTGAACTGAGGATGCAGTCTACTCTGCTGGGCACTCCAAAGTGAGGGTCGGCTAGCTGCAGGCCGTCAAGATGACTCCAACCTTTCCGAGGCTTGACCCGCCTCCTAGGCAAGAGATTGGAAACCCTCCTCAACACCAGCGCTGTAAACTCAAGAGAAAAATTAGTATCTCGTTGAGATTTCAGAGTGAGTTTGACTCGACTCTGAGCTACGGCATTGGTAGTGCCACCCGTGCCATTAACAACGACGTAGACGGGTTTGCGCTTCAGATTAAACGCTTGGACAACATGTTCCGAGACGATGCATTGCTCTGCACAAGAATCCAACAGCACACGTGCAGTCATAGAAACCCCAGCCGCAGATTGCAAAGTGATCACGGCCGTTGCCAGAAGCTGGTCAGTACCGCAGAACTCACTGAAGATCTGATGAGAGCTGGAGATAACTAGATGAGTGTTGACTTCTCCTGAAGATTGTGAGAGCTGTTGCGTTGTAGATCCGAAAGATCCATCCTGATGAAGTCGCGTGTGATGGAAGCCAGCGCACACGTAACAACGAACTGGAG